TCAATCGATTAATAATTGGATAGCAAAAAGTTCCTGAAAGACATTTTTTTAATGAAATTAAACCAGGTTAAACTAAAACTTTTCTGCTTGAGAAGTTCTGGATAGAGCATATTGACAGTCGGAAAATATGTTTCTAAATCTTAAATGCAAAAATTGCAACCAAACTAGCAGCAGTAGTGAGTTTGGAGATGCAATCCACAATTTTTATTTTTATTTTTTGACAATCTCTCATTACAAAGCAAAAAATGCAGGCAATCCTTCTGCATTGATAATGAAAGCAAATGATTCGGTCCATTCTTTGAATCCTCTTTTCTCATCAGCCATCTTTTTCTCTTTGGGATCCATGGTCAGAGACACACCTGCAGCTTTGTTTGCCAGTTAGTTGCAAGTTATCACCACTGATCTCTATGGCTTAAATGCAAATTGTTTACAGTATTGGAAAACATAATAAATTTTTGATGACCTCCTGCAATTCATATTAAAAAAAAAATTTACAAATCGATTTTCATACATTTTTGAACAAGGAGCCGACCCCCACTATAGCCAATTGACTTCCTTGTGTGTTTTCTAACCCTGTTTAATATTATACATGTAACTCTTAAGCTTGTGTTTGAATTGTGACTATGCTTCCAGTGACTTTAAAAACTGACCAAAAAGCTGATAATTAAAAATGTTTATATCATTTTATGCGTGAGGATTTTTTTTATCAAATCACCTTAAAAGTAATTTTATGTCATCTTTAATAAATGTTCATCAAATTATGATACAGGGGTGTGAGGTTGTAAAAAAGTCATTACCTTAGCGCCCAATGGAACGAAGTCCTTTTTTCATTTTAAGCCTTGTAGGTGGCGCTAAGAAACAAACTAAATGTTTGAAATACCCTTTATATATCTGGATGCTGATGCTGAGACCCTGCACCAACCAAATTCTAGCTTTTTGTCATGAAGATCGAGTGCAGGTTTAAGTTAAGATGTGCAAAACTGATGAAAAAATAAACTTGGAGAATAAGAGGCAGTTTTCAGGCTTAATTTGTTTAACTTTTCTCCTATTTCACAGCTATAAGCTGCTTTGTGTCTATACTGTAAACAGTATAATGTGTTTCTGTCGCCCTCAGGTGGCCATCATGACACCCGACATGGCATCATTCCACACTCTGGAGGAAGGAAACTACACCCAGGAGCAGGAGGATCTTCATCCTGTCACCTTACTGGCCACTCCCAATGGCACTCACATTGCTGTCCAGGTTGGTTCATAAGAGGAGAGATTTGTAATATTTGAACGTTTAAAGTGTCAGTGGGCGACCTAGGCCTGGAAAAAGTCGACTTTATTGGTCCAGACGAATATCTGCTACATTAAACAGCTTTAATGTCAGCTTTCAAACACTTGATGGCTTTCAGTCATCAAATAACAGATTTAATCCAGATTTTTGGGGGTCCATCATACTTTCTAAATGCACCTGCGAATAAAGATATAATTTATATATAGATTATGTTCTTTGCTTAAAGCTTCTCTTGCTCTAGGTTAAACTAAAGTTTCTTTCTGTGTGGAACTGATGGAGGTCCAGAAATGTTCACACGTATTTGGGGACATTCTGTAGATTGTAGCAAGGTCAAGGAAACATTTTAGCACATAAGTGATAATTGTGAGAGTAGCTTTGCGGCTACATGGCTAGAGAAAAAGTCTAAGCACTAAGATTGAAGAAGACTCATAACTTCCTAACCTTTTTTTTTTTTCAGATTTTCCTAATTTGTTTTTTTTTTTAAGTCACATCCAAAAAGGTTGTAGTGCTTGGAGAGACTCTCAGCTCCCAGTCTGTATATAAAACCCTGATTTCACCTTAAAAAAAAAAACAATGTGAAGGAGGTAAAGGTGTTTGCATCATTTCAAAATCTCCAATAGATTTTCCCTCTTGGATTTCTTAATTTTTCAGTTTTTGTTCCTTGTTGCCTCAGGTCAGCAGCGCTGAGAGCTTATGCATTGAAAAAGCCCAGGGTGCTAGCAGCAGTTTTATTCAAGACTGACAGTGGTTATGTTAGTTTAACAACCTAATCCGCTTTACAGGTTCCACCCTACTGAAATATTCACTGCAATTCTTAAAAGACCTATTCGATTAACATACACAAAGTGGAAAACTTCTGACCACTGACTTAAATAAAACAGACAACCCAAAGCTGAAGGGAAAATTCCACCTAATAGGGTTTTGTTTTCTACCAAGAAGAACTAAACTCAAACTTTAAATCATCATGTTTCAGGATTTTTTTTTTTTTTTTTGGATTCCATCTTTATTTCTTAATAAAAAAATTAATTAATTTCTTAATTAATTTTATTCACTTTGAGAAGAAACTGAACCCTTCTACACAAGGAATCACATTGCTTTTCATTACACAGCATTCATAAAAAAAATCAGAATCAACAGAGTAAACGGTTGGTACCTTTAGGGTCTTTGAGGGGCATTGATTAGATCAAGCTGATGTGATGACATCATCAGTCACAGTCAGCTGAGTAATGATTAGATTAATCGTAGGAGTGATGGGTGAATAGAAATTAATTGATGAAAGTGAGTAAATATTTCCTTTCTTTTGTTTCTAGCTTAGCGATCAGCCTTCTCTGGAAGAGGCCATTCGAATAGCTTCAAGAATACAGCAAGGAGAGACGCCCGGCCTGGATGACTGAGTGATGACTCCAAATAGACAATGAATGGAGATCAAGACCATTTCAAATGGACTTTATATATATATATTTGTGCATTTGGGAGAGATCATGTCTGCCCCAGTTTATCACAACTGAACTTTGATTTTATGTGTAAATAGGATTTTTGATAATTGAAACTATGTTACGCTATTTTGTCTAATCTTTTGGAAAGATTAGAGGTATTAATGCTTTCTAACATGGTTTAATGCACAATCCAGTGTACAGAAATATTTCTACAAAAAGAAAATAAACAAGTGTGCGAAGATTTTTCACTGAAAACCCTTTGTTACACAGGTTTGCATTGTTGAGAATGTGTTTAACAAAAATTAAGGTAACAAAATGAAGGAGTTGACTTGCGTAGATATTTATAGTAAATATAAAGTTCTAATCTCTATTTATTATAAACATCATCTTACAAAGATAAACAAACACACGTCCTGAAAGGTTTCACAATAGAAGAGTCCCCAACAGTCGACATCTGATAAGAGGCTACGACGTGTAAGGTGTTTAGTGACCCAACCAGATGATTCAGTGTGTAAATTTTCCACGGCATTCCTCACCGCCCCATCCGTACGAGTAAGTTGTTTACCTTACAAGGTAATGGCCATACTGATCCTCGGCCTTTAACTCGGAGTGAAAAATCTCACCGTTTAATGGTGTTTTACACAAAAAATTGAAAAAAAAAAAAATGTAATAAAAAACTGCTAAAATACATAACACGTTAGATTAGAATTGTGTATTTTTTTTTTATATATGCATCAACAAAAGCAAAACAGCATAAATGCCTAAATGCGGTAGTTTTCAACACCTGGTAGAATTAATGCCTTTTTTTCTCTGTTCTGCTTGTTTAACTAGCTGGATTTTAGCTGGTTGTTAAGTGTTTATCTATAGTTTCCACATCATGATATCTTGCAGTTTTCGCAACTAAAAATATTTCTAAACGGCTTCAAAGTGCTGCAACAGGTGTGGGGGAGGGGCAGCAGTCAGTCTATCCTCTAACCAAATGAAAAAAACATTGCTCACCCCTGCAACCTCCTAATCTGGCTGTTGTCAGGTTAGCAACCTCCCTGGGTTCTCCTTAAATAATATAACCTTTTATAACTGAAATGTTTCCATTCTTTTAATGCACAGAATTAGCCAGTATGTGACTGTGTGAAATAAGTTTTCAAATCTTATTTAGGTGAACAAAATATGATTTTAGAAAAGCTGCAAGTCTGCTGATGTGAATCTTTAAAATACTTCACTTTTCACCAAATGCTACCAGAATTCCAAAGAAAAATCCCATTTGGCTCAAAGTTTTCAGATTCACACATTTCATGAATTCATTAGAACATTGTTCTCTCCTGATCAAAGTCCAAATGTCGCCATACCATCCTGGAAAACTTTGGAGGGGCTTATTGTTTCCTGGTTTATCAGACAGAAAATCTATTATATTTTCAAAATGTGTTAAAATTAGCATTTTTAATGCACAATGTATGCAAAAAATCTTAACTTTTATTATAGCTGATTGTAAGAAAGCATGCGGAAACGATAGACAAAACAATTATAGATTAGTTACATTGTTTTTTTATTTATGAATAAGAGTTTGTATAAGAAACAGCTAAACACAGTTACATGTGGAGCAGTAAGGTGTGTTTAGGTGTTTTTCTCCTGTTCTTTGATTGTTTTGGTGACTCATGACTCCCGTCTACTACTAGTAAAGCCTCACGCGCGCGCCACATTGTTTCACCGCAGGGGGTGGGGGTTGGAGGGGACTACCAGAGGGACTACGTCAGCCCCTCCTGAAAAACACTCCGGAACGCCCATCTTTCAAAATTCAACCTCGAGTCCTGATTGGCTACCCGGCAGCACGTGATCAACGGTCGCGGGAAGTTCTTTGCCACGCGCGTGATGGGAAGAACTCAGTTTTCGTCTCCTTCAAACTTTTGTAAACATTGCTAAGTTCCCACGGAGGACAGAGGAAAGACGCGTTTCTGTCGACGAGCCACCGAGACACGGAGGAATTAAAAGGAAGGACGGCTTCTTGTTTTTATTACCGCGTAGGACGTTTCTACCCGTCTTCTCGCGAGCAGGTCTGCGGCCATATCGCTGGGTTTAGCGGCGTGTAGCGCTTTAAAACTAAAGTTTTCTTTTTTTTTTTTGGAGCAGTTGGAACTGTTAACAGTACTTTGTGGATTTATTTTATACCTTTATACCTTCAAGCAGAGAGGCAAGTACTGCGGTGGGAGCACCAGTTTTTTTTTTTTTTGTTGTTGTTGTTTTTTTGTACTTCTCCCCCTTCGTCCTTCGCCGGGGTTTAAATCGTCAAAATGTCGAGCTACAGCCGCCATCGACGCGGCACGCCTTCTCCCAAATTTCGCCCCATTCGCCAGAAGCTACAGTTCACATCCAGCGACGGAGAAGACGACTCGATCGAGGACGTCCACAACAGCACCGGGGGAGAGTCCGGCTTCACAGAGATCGACTCCCCGACGCCTGCGCGACGAGGCGCCGCCGATCCGCTGGGAGAGGGCGGCAGCAGCCCCCTCAACCAGTCCGGCGGAGACGACGACGTGGAGCTGTGGGACGAAGAAGACGGCTTCAGCTCCCCTGCAATACAGTCTCCTAACAGCGTCATTTTCACCAACTGTTCGGCGTCTCCTCGGAAGCCGTCGCGGCTGTTCGGAGGGTCGCCGGAGCGGAGCTACGTCCAGGATGACGGAGAGGAGGGATCCAGCTCACCCATCCCGGACTGCCCGGACACTCCTCCGCATAAAACCTTCAGAAAACTGCGGCTTTTCGACACCCCGCACACACCAAAGGTTAGAATTACATTAAAGCAAACTAACCTTTTAGTTTCTCATCAGTTGATCTACTTTTATATCAACCTTTAATAATGTGTCTGCAGTTTATGACCCAGTGATCCACTTGGTGAACTTGTCCAGACATGTCTGCACTGCTATCTGCATGTTGTTAGTTATAAAGCAATTAATTATTGTTAATTTTATTTGCAGAGTTTGCTGTCCAGGGCCAGAGGCTCTGTTCCAGGATCTTCCAGCAGGAGAGTCGCTCTCTTCAAGAACAGCGTGGATTCTCCACGGAAGTCTCTCACAGACAGCAGCAGGAGACAACAGCTCCCCCATGTCAACTTCAACCCCTTCACCCCTGATTCACTCCTCATCCAGTCTGCCACCCAGCAAAGAAACAGGAAGCGAGCACATTGGAATGAGTAGGTTTCTCCCTCCCCCACCCCTAAAAGTCCTCTGATCTGTTGCATGGAATGTTTTTTAATCACCAAACAGAGTCATCATGTCTGCATATGAGACAAAAGCTGTAAAAGTTTTACTCAGGACTGGCTTTAGTAACCAAGCCTGTTTTTCTTTAACAAGTCTTTTGTTTAAACCAGTTATATTAGTCAGAATGAGGAGGGGGTAGTTGTCAGATAACAGGGACCTCGTGGTTACCTTACTGCTGCTCTCCACGTGCTTTCTGTGGCTCTCAGTGCTGCCCCCTCCTGTACAGAGATGCTAACCAACGTTTCTCTTTTGTATTTAGCTCCTGTGGAGAAGACATGGAGGCCAGTGATGGAGAGGGAGAAGAGGAACTCCTCCCACCCTCTAAGGTACAATGAGTCCTATATGATCTTCCTAATAATACCTTTTCATATGTTTTTTGCTTTTTTATTTTTTCAAACTTTCAAATTTCTTATTTTTCTTGATCCTTTTATTTTCACTCGATAACCGCCCATTTAATTAGGGTTTTGCAATTGTTTTATGAATTATAAATAGAACATTAATAAATATACAATATATGAACTAACACATTTGATCAGATGTGTTTGTATAGAAAAAAGCTTTTTAATCTTAAATGGGAAAAGTTTCTTGTTTCGTCTTAATTGTTGTAGTCATTATTTTCAATATTTTTCTGTAAAATTTGCTTTTGCTCTATGTTACGGTTCAATTAGTAAACCATTTTACGATTTCATTAGTCAGTCATGATGTTTTTGCCCACATCACAGATCCTGCAGCATCAACCATTATTGAGAAACACGTGCATAGTTATACCAGCAGAACTCAAAGATAATACAACGGTTAAAGCTGTATATTTCAGAGTTATAAGTTTTTAGCAGATCTGTGATCTAAATCAGATTCTGATTCTGCTAAAAACTTATAACTCTGAAATATACAGCTTTAACCGTTGTATTATCTTTGAGTTCTGCTGGTATAACTATGCACGTGTTTCTCAATAATGTTTGATGCTGGGGGCTATTGTAAGGTGTGTCAATTGATATGCTAAATGACCTGAAACTATCAGTTTAAGTGACCTGTTTTTCTTCTTTATGATGCTAATGTTTACGTTTTTTCTAACCCCCACCCCCCCCAGAGGATCACCATGATGGAAAACAACATGACATCTCGCTATGCATCAGAGTTCCTGGAGCTGGAGAAAATTGGTTCTGGTGAATTCGGAGCGGTTTTCAAATGTGTAAAAAGGCTCGACGGTTGCATCTACGCCATCAAGAGGTCAAAGAAACCGCTGGCGGGATCGGTGGACGAGTAAGTCAGCATATCCCATCCTGTAGTTCACGGTTTTCTTCCTCCTGTGACCAGTTAATAAAGAATTTATTCTCCTAACAGACAGAACGCTCTGCGGGAGGTTTACGCCCACGCCGTGCTAGGCCAGCACCCCCATGTGGTGCGCTACTACTCAGCCTGGGCCGAGGATGACCACATGCTCATCCAGAACGAGTACTGCAATGGCGGCACTCTGTCCGACGTCATCACTGACAACTACAGGCGGCTCAGCTACCTATCTGAGCTGGAGCTGAAAGACCTGCTGCTGCAGGTCACCCGGGGACTCAAATACATCCACTCCATGTCTCTGGTGCACATGGACATTAAGCCCAGTGAGTCCCGCCTGGATTTTCTGTCAGCAGAGGCCGGTCTGATTGGCTGACCTTTATTTTTAAACAGAAATGAATCCCTGTTTCACGGTTTCCTCATCTTTGTTTCAGGTAACATCTTCATTTCACGCAAAGCTGTGGCGAGTTGTGATGAATCAGACGAGGACGATGGACCGACCACCAGTGTTGTCTACAAAATCGGTAAGTCTGAATTTCTTTTTTGTTCAAGTCAATCTATTTTTCGTTTGTTTTTTTACATATTAACTCAGAATCTCCTGTTTGCGGGTCTTTCAGGTGATCTTGGTCACGTGACTCGAGTGAACAATCCACAGGTGGAGGAGGGAGACAGTCGATATCTGGCCAATGAAGTCCTGCAGGAGGTATTTAATAAAAATAATTAATAAGTAAAAAACCTTTATATCTTGAAACAGAGCCTTCATACCTGTTCTGTCATTCACTCCAGGACTACAGCCACCTAGCAAAGGCAGACATCTTCGCTTTGGCTCTTACTGTGATCAGCGCATCAGGAGCCGAACCTCTACCCACTAATGGCGAAAAGTGGCATGAGATCCGGCGGGGAAAATTGCCATCCGTCCCTCAAGTGCTCTCTGTAGGGTTCCTCAGTTTGCTTAAGGTAAATGGCAGCATCCTTCTCTAGTCGACCACTTTGTCATATCAAGATTTTGTTTTATTTAGTGAACATTTAACCTGCTTAGTCCTTTTATGCTAACTTTTTTTCCTCTAAAAACATTTTAAACATGTGGGTCAGCTAGGATGCTTATGAGCAACAAAGCTGGACAGACAGCTCTCTTTGTTTTTTTTTTTTTGTTTTTTTTCTTTTCTTTTTTTTCTTTAAACATGGTTTCCATAATATCTCTATCTTAGGTATCTTTGTTGAATTTTTAGACGGTGGAATAGCGCTAAACCTAAAATGGTTCCACTTTAAAGATGCTAGTTTTGGCAAGTAAATGTTGATTGTAGTTAGTTTTATTGCAATATTACATTGTTAATCTTTTCTTTCGTTCGGAGATGGAATTAATAATTGGACATGCTGTTTGAATTTTCACTCGTCTGTTTGATTGCTTTTCCTAATCAGATGAATTTCTTCTTCTTTGCATTCAGCTGATGATCCACCCTGACCCAACCAAACGACCGTCGGCGTCAGACCTTATAAAACACCCGGTGCTTCTAACAGCTGCCAGAATGAGTGCCGACCAGCTCCGAGTCGAGCTCAACGCAGAGAAGTTTAAAAACGCTCTTCTTCAAAAGTAAGTACAGCTGCAGTCTGATCTATGAATCACAGGAGTCTGAACAGTGAAAGTCTTTAACATCTCAGTAAAGAGGGGACGGTCCTGATAAAGCTGCTTTATGCTTTGCCCAGTGTGATCTTTCTGGTGGCCTTAAGGGGGCACTACACCTGGAGGTTACAGTTCTAGTGCATCTAGTGGTTAAGTTATTGTTTTTTCAACTTGGTGCATTTTCCTCTGAAATATTATAGGTCCATTCCCATTAAATGCCGGTAATAAAAAGCCCAAATCCATTAGATAAGGATAAAATAAACGTCTGTCCTGATGCTTTGATCACTTTGGATTCTGTAGTGACAGATGGACTGCCGTTGGCATGGAGATGGTCCAGTTTGCTCAATTACATAGCGGAGATGGTGGCCCCTGAATCTACCACTAGATCAGAGCTTCTAAAATGAGTCACGGACGTGTGAGTTAGCTTCCTCTGCTCTGTTCCAGTCGGGAACATGGATGCAAAAAGCTGCTGTGAAATAGTCTGAGGCGTTTCTAAATATGGCGTTCCTTGAGCTAGCTGATCAGCAGTGTGCAGCAGCAGGTGCTGCAGGCTGGCAGTACTGTCATGCTGTTTTTAATGAAAATAACCATAAACTGTGGCGAAACGTGATGTTTACTTACGGGTTCAAAGGGCTCATAATGCTTGACTCAATTCTGTGCAGAAAATGAGCATTTATACTCTGTGCTGCTTTTTCCCCTGGTCGCCTCCTGGGGGGGGGGGCTTGGTCAGTACAAGATATGGCCTGCAAACACCACACTACATGTGGAAGCAGAAAATCAAAGCCTCCTTATGAACTTCAGGAGGGAGAGTCGTGCACTTCCCTGGACAACCCGTTTTCCACAATGTGTTGATAGTTGTGATATTTGTGAGCTAGATTCATGGGATGTCTGTAGATTTTTGCATTTGCAAACGCTTACCAGCAGTGGCTGCTACTTGCTCGCCATGTTTTCCGTGCGGATCTGTCAGCGTAGTTAGAAATGTTCCTAGCGTGAAAGCCCAAAATGTCATTTAGATGCGTGGACACGTCAAGCATGAATCGTGCTCAACCCTTTTCCGTTTTGTCTTTCCCTCAGAGAGCTGAAGAAAGCCCAGCAGGCCAGAGCGGCGGCCGAAGAGAAGGTTTTGTCGACAGACAGGATCCTGACCCGCTCCACGCTGCACCAGTCCAACCCCAGAACCTCCAGGCTCATTGGAAAGAAGATGAATCGATCGGTCAGCCTCACCATCTACTGAGACCGTTTCTATGGGAACTGGAACACAGAGACACGGCGCGCCATAAACCGCTGCCGGTTCTGTTGGGACGTTCTGCCCAACCTAAACGGAAGACTTAAGCTACACTGAACTTGAAGCTCTCTCAATGGGCCTTTGTGTAGCTCAGCCCTGTTTCCCCTCTTTGGGGGAGAATAAACCTATTTCCTTTAAAGGTAGCTGCCTTACCTTTCCACTTAGTCATTCCTGAAGTGTGCAAAGATGTCACACTCTCTCCTGGATCGCCGCTGCACTTCCCCGGACAACGCCGAAGCCCCGCAGCGGCGGCGGCAGCTCTGCTCAGAGCGAATGCTCCTGCCTTAGCCGTGCGCACCTTACTGCCTGTCACAAGCCTGATGGTCTGAGAACGACGTCGTCTGTTTGTAAAGGAGCACTTTGGAGGCAACCTGTGGTACTTCTGCCTACCACAGCATTTTAAGGAAAAACTGATTGCTGCTATTGATGTTTTGTTTGTTTTAGGGGCTTTACGCAAAGTTTGGATCATTTTTAAGATTATTGGCTCTTATCTGTGAAGCAGCAGGTGTTTTTTTTCATCCACTAAATCCTGTCTTAGGTTTCTGATTGAATCAGGTGATTTGATTAAATCATTCTGTTTGACCTACCCAGACTAGTAATCTGACTTCTTTTTTTTTTTAAGTTGTGAATGATCCTCTTTGGTTTAGTTTCTGTTCATGTATGCTGTCAGCCCCTCGTGTAGCATTAGAACAATCATCGTGTCGTCCTTTGGTTGATCATCCGTTCATCTGTTCAAGAGTTTTCTCATCTCCATGTTGTACCCCCCCCCCCCCCCCCCCCCTTACACAGAAAGCTTTGTGATAACTTGTACATATGTTCTGTAATAAATTGTCATTCATCCTCTCAGTATTTTCTTTATTGTGGAAATGTTATCTGCAGTAGGAGCCTTCCAAAGTCTTTTAAAAAAAAGTAGCAGTAAAACATTTTCCGTTTAAAAAAAGTTTAATTTTAAAAGGTAAGTTTATTCACATCAGTATAATAAAAACAACTAGGGCTGGATTATATCAACTTTTTTTTTTTTTACGTTTTATGAACTAGCTTTGATTTCAGTCATCCCGTCAACATGAGTTGCTGGAAAAAACTGCTTGGTTGCAATGTTTTTTAAAATTGAAATGATCATAAGCAAGTTGAATACTAAAAGCCTTTCATCATGTGATTAACATGACGTTTTACAGAAGTCCAGCTATCGACTCACCTGCGATGGCATTTAATCCTTATACAGGAAAGTGGCCATTAGAGATGAATTCATTCACTGCATCAGACTTTGGATACTTAATGGAAAGCTGGACAGACTGTTTCCCCAGACGTACATCAAGTTGCATGTCCCAAAGTATCATACAACCATACAGTGAGGGTCGCACTGCCAACACATGGTCCTAAGATCTGGCATATACACTATATTGCCAAAAGTATTTGCTCACCTGCCTTGACTCACATATGAGCTTAAGTGACATCCCGTTCCTAATCCATAGGGTTCAATATGACGTCGGTCCACCCTTTGCAGCTAGAACAGCTTCAACTCTTCTGGGAAGGCTGTCCACAAGGTTTAGGAGTGTGTTTATGGGAATTTTTGACCATTCTTCCAGAAGCGCATTTGTGAGGTCGCACACTGATGTTGGACGAGAAGGCCTGGCTCTCAGTCTCCGCTCTAATTCATCCCAAAGGTGTTCTATCGGGTTGAGGTCAGGACTCTGTGCAGGCCAGTCAAGTTCATCCACACCAGACTCTGTCATCCATGTCTTTATGGACCTTGCTTTGTGCACTGGTGCACAGTCATGTTGGAAGAGGAAGGGGCCAGCTCCAAACTGTTCCCACAAAGTTGGGAGCATGGAATTGTCCAAAATGTCTTGGTATGCTGAAGCATTCAGAGTTCCTTTCACTGGAACTAAGGGGCCAAGCCCAGCTCCTGAAAAACAACCCCACACCATAATCCCCCCTCCACCATACTTTACACTTGGCACAATGCAGTCAGACAAGTACCGTTCTCCTGGCAACCGCCAAACCCAGACCCGTCCATCAGATTGCCAGATGGAGAAGCGCGATTCGTCACTCCAGAGAACGCGTCTCCACTGCTCTAGAGTCCAGTGGCGGCGTGCTTTACACCACCGCATCCGACGCTTTGCATTGCACTTGGTGATGTATGGCTTGGATGCAGCTGCTCGACCATGGAAACCCATTCCATGAAGCTCTCTGCGCACTGTTCTTGAGCTAATCTGAAGGCCACATGAAGTTTGGAGGTCTGTAGTGATTGACTCTGCAGAAAGTTGGCGACCTCTTCGCACTATGCGCGTCAGCATCCGCTGACCCCGCTCCGTCAGTTTACGTGGCCTACCACTTCGTGGCTGAGTTGCTGTCGTTCCCAAACACTTCCATTTTCTTATAATACAGCTGACAGTTGACTGTGGAATATTTAGGAGCGAGGAAATTTCACGACTGGATTTGTTGCACAGGTGGCATCCTATCACAGTTCCACGCTGGAATTCACTGAGCTCCTGAGAGCGACCCATTCTTTCACAAATGTTTGTAAAAACAGTCTGCATGCCTAGGTGCTTGAATTTATACACCTGTGGCCATGGAAGTGATTGGAACACCTGATTCCAATAATTTGGATGGGTGAGCAAATACTTTTGGCAATATAGTGTATATGCAGGAAAAAAAACTATCAACCAAAGGATCTTCTGAGTAGTTTTTTTTTTTTTTCATATATATAGTTATAGAAACGAGTGAATGCCGAGGGTATATAAGGACATAAGAGAAGAAACAGAATGGTTAAATGTTGGTGTGTCATAAAAAGAGAAAGATAAAATGACTGAAAAACTACTTAGTCAATATATAAAGGTTTTTTTTGCTTTCAATCTCCTTTACTGTGAAGTCGAACATTTTTTTGCACTAAATTAAAAATAAAAACAGGTCTTCAATAAAGGCCATGTACATGTTTCCTTAACAGTCGATTGACTGCTGGGTGGAGTGCTTTCTACAATTCAGATTACCGGTAATCCAGTAAGCCAGCCTGGCCCAGAGCAGGTTTGCCATTCAGTTGTTAGAAAAGGTAATTATTAAAATTAGCGCACCAGGTGGCTCTGTCCACGAAAAATTAGACATATACAGTAATAAATCTTTGCTATGTAGTAATATTTGAGTAATCAGCAAACAGATGTAAGTTTAATACATAAATAAACCACAGGTTTCTCAGAAGAAATAAGATGAAAGAAAGAAATGGTGGATCCGTCCTCCTGTCTCTCCTATAGATGTCAAAGGCCAGGGCCGTGACAAAAACATGGACGCTGAGGGGCTTTTTAGGGCAGGGGGTCCCAAACATTTCAACATGGACTCAAAAAAATAAAGACGCAACAAACTGAAGATGCCCTAAACAAAAAAAAAACAAAAAAAACATAATACAATAACTTATGCATATAAAGAGAAGCTTTTATATTCATCTTTACATAAATTAATTATTTTTTAATTAAATTTGATTATTAAATCATTCTAAATGTAATTTTGATTATTTAATAAGATATGTGACACTGAGACACACCTTTATATCTAATGTCTTAATCTATTTTTTAGACTGATAAGCAAATGTTGTCCTACATTATGAAATAAACAACAAAGACATCTTCCCAACACAGTACTTTGCAAAAATAAATAAATAAATAAAATACAATCTAAAACCAATGCATTAAATATATTGTTTCTGCAAACAGATGTTTCGTATTCATAATAGCGACTATTGCATTTGTCCAAACTGCAGAAAAAATTAAATGGCATCTTTTCCAAAACAGTTCTTTGCAAAATAAAATAAAAAAAAAATTAATTCTATATCAATGCATTAAATTCCGTTTCTGCAGATAGATGACCTAATCTGTGCAGCATATATCTGTGCAGCAGCATATATCTGTGCAGTATATATCTTTTCAGCAGCATATATCTGAGCAACATGTATCTATGCAGCATATATCTGTGCAGCATATCTGTGCAGCAGCATATATCTATGTAGCATATATCTGTGCAGCATATATCTGTGCAGCATATCTGTGCAGCAGCATATATCTATGCAGCATATATCTGTGCAGCATATATCTGTGCAGCATATCTGTGCAGCAGCATATATACTGTGCAGTATATATCTTTTCAGCAGCATATATCTGAGCAACATGTATCTATGCAGCATATATCTGTGCAGCATATCTGTGCAGCAGCATATATCTATGTAGCATATATCTGTGCAGCATATATCTGTGCAGCATATCTGTGCAGCAGCATATATCTATGCAGCATATATCTGTGCAGCATATATCTGTGCAGCATATCTGTGCAGCAGCATATATACTGTGCAGTATATATCTTTTCAGCAGCATATATCTGAGCAGCATATATCTATGCAGCATATATCGTGCAGCATATATCGTGCAGCATATCTGTGCAGCAGCATATATCTGTGCAGTATATATCTATGCAGCATATATCTGTGCAGCATATCTGTGCAGCATATCTGTGCAGCAGCATATATCTGTGCAGCATATATCTGTGCAGCATATCTGTGCAGCAGCATATATCTATGCAGCATATATCTGTGCAGCATATCTGTGCAGCAGCATATATCTATGCAGCATATATCTGTGCAGCATATATCTGAGCAGCATATATCTATGCAGCATATATCTGTGCAGCATATCTGTGCAGCAGCATATATCTATGCAGCATATATCTGTGCAGCATATGCGTGTGCAGCAGTGACAGCCTGCAGGCTCCTCCTGATGTGTGCGTCTCTCTCGCTGAGCGGTGCTGCAGCTCTTCTCTTCATCATCATCATCATTAATATGCCAGCCACGGTGCGTCATGTGATCATCCCTCCCTCTCTGTGTCCAGAGGAGACAGCGCCAGCAGGAGAGGAGTCGGTGACAGAGAGGACAGGAGTAAGAAGTTGATCAATAAATAAAAATAAATAAATAAAGTGTCCTTTGGGGATCATGACGCTGCGGGACGAACTTCTAAAGTCCATATGGCACGCCTTTACTGCTCTGGATGTGGACAAAAGCGGGAAAGTCTCCAAATCTCAGCTGAAAGTAAGTTTCTCGTGTTGGATTTATATTTTTTTAAGGTCTGGGCTGCTTTAGGTGAACAGTTGTCTCCGTTTCTGGTGTTTCTGGCTTGTTTATTAGATCTTATCGCGTCTCTTCCTCCTCTGAGAACACAGTGCGCCTCTGTCTCTAGCTGCAGAGGCGCACCTGGTAATGGGCTGACATCCAACTACTGGGAGAAAATAAAACATCAACACCAATCAGAACATAAAATAAGGTTTTAGAACAATTGATTGGATCATGAATCTCTGGTGAAGAAAGCAAAAACAAGCGGTACTCCTTCCTAATGTGGCATCCCTCACTCTGAGCGCTTTGTTCAGCAACAATTAAAGTCCACAAACTCCAGCTGGCTGGGATAATGCAGAGAGAGAGACAATTAAAATAATGAAGGACTACTTGTTTTTGTGAAATATGTGAAACTGGTTAGATTGGTTACACCACATTTGCTCTCAGCTTGACTACACCAATGCTCTGCCAACTCCACAGGGACCATGTGAAAATATGTTGGTGAAGGTCTACTAAACTTTAATTCTTAAACACAAATACATGTTTTTTGCTAAAAGAAAAGTCATTTTTTTCTGGTAAAATGCAGCAAAAGACTCATAAGTTCACCTTTCTACAACCAAACCTACAACCAGAAATCTGATTCAGCTTTCCATTGGATATTGTGCTGTACAGTAATTATTAAAATTATTCATAGGCAGGCTAATAGATGTCATAAACATTTAAACATTTTCATTGTCTATAGCATATATTGTCCATTTAATACATTAACGTTAATTTGCAAAATAGTAAAAGTATTAAGAGATCTAAATGCTCTAAAGTTTCCCTGGAGTTAACCCAGCAGCTGGGTTCTTATGTTCGCCACAGGAACTGCAGCTGATTGCATTTCTTTAAACTCCTTTACTGAGTGTTATTCTTTCCCTTTGTGAAAGACGTATTCAGTAATATGCCTGGAGAGTTATTGCTTAGCCCAGTTTGGAGATTTTCATCCAAAATTCATTGATGTGTGTTTTCCAAACTCATGACCTGTGGTCAGCTTTGACCAGAAATAACTTGGAAACGATAACATGTCGTCCATGTAGCGTAAAACTAGACACAGTTTGGTCCAAATGCAGGGACAGCCAGAAGAAGGTCCATTAGAAGTTTCTTTTACTGTCCCAAAAACGTTTGTTTTTCTGAGAATATTAGGTTTCCGATGCCTTTAAAGCATATTAATGGCCCTTTTTTTAATCTTTACTTTTTGACAAACACTAATTTTAATGTGTCTTAGTGGTTGTTTTACATGATAACTAAAACAAAATGTAGAATAATTGTGAAGATGGTAAAGAATACTTATATATATAACTGAAAAGTATTACATGCTTTCATAATTCCCCACATTTATTGTAGAATCCTGATAACAAACAGAAGCACAGCTAGTTTACTTCAGTGGTTAGAAAGAGTCCAAATGTGAATAGAATCAGCATAGATCCTGCTGCTGTCTGAGGTTTGTTGGAAAACATAAGGGAACAAAAAGCATAAGGAAGATTCTGGAGATGTTTCAGTGCAGTGAACTGTGCAGTCCAAACTTTGACCATCTGGAGGCGCATTGTTCGGTCAATCGACTGGGACTGGAAAACGCCTCGGGTTGAGGAATTCATTGAAAGGATAAGCATGAAGGTCCATCATCGTAACAAAATTCCAAGCATGTGAATCAAATGCCCACCTGTCGTTCTTTTTGGTTATTGGAGTCTTTTGTTGTGTTTGGGTTTTCTGTTTGGTCATTTCAATCATGCTGAGTGTGCTTGTGTATTGTCTTTGAAATAATCTTGGAAGCTGTTTTTTCCTCTTTTATCAAAGATGGCTTCCTTCATCCCCCTTTCAAACCTCATCTGTCCTCTCTGTCCAAAATCTGAACATTTTGGTGATGAAAGGTTCCTCAGTGCTGCTGGCTCTCCTATGCTGCTCCATTTCTGTGTCACCTCAGCAGAACCCAGGGCTGATGGCCTCCATGCCACGGTGCCTTGATGACGAATTTCAGAATCCCAAAATTTATGTTTGAAAAATATTGTGTCTTTATAGTAGTCTGAAATACAAAATTTTGGGGTGTTCTTCATTTGCAAGCCATAATCTTAAAATTAATAAATAAATATATATTTACTGTGTTTTGTAAAACAATAACAGTGCTTTGCAGCCTCTAAAATCCAAAGAGCCATTTTGCTCCAAGTCCAAAGCACAGCTTATTTTTTTCAGATGTATACTTTATTAAATCTGTTGCCATTAAAAATAACTAATAGTCTATTTGTATTCTTTAAAATGAAGGAAAAGCTAAAACTTCACAGGGATGGGTAGATTCGCTTCTTTAGGATATCAGATCTTCCTTTCAAAACAAAAACAAACAAAAAACATAATTTTCAAGCAAACGACAAGGAAAATGAACCAAAAAACATATTTCTGGTAACTTAAAAATTGTTCTATTGCGGAACTTGAATTCAAATTTTCTTTAAAAAAAACACCTAATGCTCCTTAGACTAGTATTTGTTGTTATGATGTATTCCAAACCATATTAGTCATTAAAAGACGCTACACGGAGCCAAATAGCCTCAGTTTTTAGACCTGTGATCAGTCTGGGCAGTTTGGGCAATCAGATGCTGATATTATAATTATTTCCTTTTATGAAATAGTCTATCATTCTCCTGCAATCTCTAAAAGGCCAAGGCGAGTATTTGAGCTCTGCTCATAAAGTATTTACCATCTAATCTCTGCCAGGTTCAATGCTATAAATTCAATCTTCAGGAAGGAAATCCATCCACCAGCTTTGATCAAGCCAGTGACCAACAGTGGAAGAGTTGCTCCACTAAATACAATCCTCAACCGTAATGCATAAAATGTTAAATCCACAATATTGCATTTCATCAGGTCTTAATCATCCAGCATTGTTAAAGAAACATACGAGTTGATAAGATAAATATATTTCTCATGTTGGCGGCCTGTAGCCTAGCAGAGTTTTTTCTAGTTGCCACTCAGCCAAAGTGAGTGATTTCCTTACGGTTCTGGTATCATCTAAACATAAAATTTAAAAAAATCAATTAATTCATGTTCTGGTTTTCAGGTGCTTTCTCATAACTTATGTACAGTGCTGGGAATCCCCCACGACCCGGTGGCGCTGGAAGAACACTTTAAGGATGACGACGAGGGTCCTGTTTCCAATCAGGGATACATGCCGTACCTCAACAAGTTTATCCTGGATAAGGTCAGTAACGCCACAAACCAACATGGAAGTGTTTTCAAGGTTGCGTAGCTCCAAAGTTCACACTCGCAGTTTTCTCTGGTATTGAGGTTTCTGTGAGGAGGAAATGATTCACTCTGAGTCAGCAGTCTGTGCCATGACTGTTGATCAAGGGTTGTCTGAAGGGAAATGCCACATTTTCAGAGGAGGAAAAGAAGATAGTGGGACATAAACTGGGGCAGTAGGCCGTCAGGTTTAAACGTTACACACAGTATGAGTACAACACAGCAGAAGAATTTATGAGGCTACACCTTGGAAGACATAACAGCTGATTGGTAGGACTTTTGGGCCTGAGGGGCCCGTTCTGCACACACAGGTTAAACTGAAAATATGAAACAATCGTTTTCTTTACACAAAATAAACATTTAAAAACTGCTAATCTCTTCATGCCAGAAAACAAGGTCCAGCTACATTTTCTCCACATTTATGGAACATGGCTCTGCCGCTGCTGTTGCAATCTGCTGGCGGAATAAATTCCACTACTTCCTTGGCGAACGGCGTGGAAATGCGGAATTATTTACAGCAAATTCAAAAAGGAGACCAAAAACATGCAGGAAAAAAATGCTGCCAAGGAGAAAAAGCTGCAATTACAGAAAAATAGACGGTAGTTAAGTGGATGAAGTAGAGCAAACACAAGAACTGCTGCAAACACATAAATATTTCTAATACAATCCTGGGAAATCTGAACAGAATATTCCGACCAGCATGTTTACATGACTCCTTTTCTATTACCTCTCTCCATGTAAACTTAGCTGTTCTTGATTGTAAACTGCCACTAATGGTTTATAATTCAAGTATAACATTTTACTTTTTTTATCTCAGTGTGCCAGCCATATACACTGTAAATGTGTCTATTAATGTGGCCCTTCTGTGAGTCTTTCACTCCTTGCGCTGAGAGCTAAACACTGACCTCGCTCATTCAGCCCTTTTATGATGATGTCATGGTGCAGTATCTGCATAAAAAGGCTGTGTCATCCATTCAGCCTGACATTTTGAAAAAGCCTTTTCTTTCCGTTATGTGATGTCATCCTATGGGATTACTATAAATAGGAGCTGCTGTGGCACAAGCTTTCTATTGCAAGTAGAAAATTTTAAAGAATAAGAAATGTTCTTAGTGTTTCAATTAATCGTTACTACAGTAGCCCAGAAGGGACACACCATGTATCCATCTCTAATAGCCAAAGCAGTTTGGACTGTGCTCTGTTAGCATGTATTACTATAACAATGGCTCATTGCGTTTTTGTTCTTTGTCCTTTTTTTTAAGCCAAAATATTTCAGTCTCTCTATGCTTTAGCCATTTTATTTCTCAGTTTAAATAAAACACATCGCTTACCGAGTAACTACGTGTTTGTCTTTGATCAAACCAAATATGAGACGTTCTGAGATTTTCATCACTATAATCCAGCATGAATACATTTCTTTCATTTTCCAATAGAAAAGCATCAAATATTCCAGTAGTATGAGGTGCAGATATCTGTTAATTTAGCTACACATCAGTTCCCCACATCAAAGTGATATCTGACTAAATGCTTTATCTCTGCTCTTTCTTTTTATCCCCCTCTCCTGTTGACCTGTTTTTGTGGTTCATGTCAACTTTTGCCACTTAGAGGGCAGAACCAACCTTATAAGTGAACTTCTTGTGATTAGCTACTTTATAGCCACCACTGGTCCCAACAAACTCAATAAGTTGTTACATTCATGCTGATTTTGCACAGTTTCTGCATTAGTCCGTTAAATAACATGCTGCTGTCATTTTGCACATCTCTGATGTTGCTGCTATTATCAAATATCTATTACTGTAAACATGTCTATAGCTGGATATTGGTTATTTATTCTCCAGATACACAGTATTTATATTGTTTAAACACTTTACAGTGCAGTATTTCATTTTTTTAAATCATTTATATCTTCACTATTATGTTATTCTTGTTGCTGTAAACACCAGAATTTCCCCATTGTGGGACGATAAAGGGATTTTCTATTCTATTCTGTTTAGGAAATCACGCCTCTTCCAACAGTACTGCTTCCTTCGTGGTTGCACCTAGCAACCTTTTAAATAGCATCTTTAGGCTGTGTCACTACCTGAACCGTAGCGGAAGATCGATCGCTCATTTGCGCATGTGCAAGCAGATATTCATCCAGGTCGCAAGTACTATTTTATCAAAAGTACTTAATCTTATTCTTAAATCGCTAAAGAAGGCTAATACAAATCTTAACATTTTTTATAACTGTTCTGACACAATTTTTATGCTTTTTACATTTTCTTCCTTAAACTGCTTCTCTGACGTCATCATGGGACATGCTCAGAGCAGTCAGACAAAATATGATTAATCTGCATTTTAGTTGTTTCTAGATTACGCACTATAAACCATAATGTTAACACGAAAGGAAAACATAAAACTCAAAAAGGTTAGGTTAGGTTTTTGTTAAAATCCAAAGCCAAAATAGTTAGCTCCCGGAAGCAGCGTAGGATCCCATTTCCGATCCAGACGAGTGACAAAACAGGATTTAAATGCATTTATTGTCTTGAGAAATACATTAACCTTTAACACATTATATTTTAGTATGCTTATTATTTTTAAGCAGGGAAAGTTGTCATTTAAGTATTTTTTATAAATAAAATTGAGGGCGACCCGAACGTATATCTGGATGCCATGCACAAATGAGCTGATGGTACGGATCATGCTACCGGTACAGATCAGGTGAGAACAGGCTGTTCAGGCTGTGAAGGAAACTGTTCTGCCTTAAGAGGCGGGATAATGAAGTCAATAAATTCTGCAGAGAATTAAAAAAAGAGCACTAACCTGTCTGAGGGAGGTTTGAGAGATGGTTAATGTTATTGCTAACATTAAAATTCTAGATATAAACATCCCTTTGTGATCGCCTGGCTGGCCCAAAAGAAAGACTGAGACACCCCAGCCCAAGATAAGACTGTCGAGGCCGTTACATGATCGACTGCGAATAATCGGTCTCCAGACCCGGTCCTGGTGTTGAGATCTTCTGCTCATGCAGGTCTGTGACTGGAGTCTGATCCAGGCTGCATTGAAGGAGCAGTTTGAACAACCTGACAGAAAAGAAATGGAGCTGAGCACTAAGACCTGTGGTGTGAATATAGAACAAACCCGTCTGCCTTTCACTGTTTAGTACATATTCTTTGGACAGATTGATTTGTTTGTTTTCTTCTTCTTAAACAGCATTCATTTAAAGGAAAAAGTCTTTCCCCACAGCGTTATGGTGACGCCGCCGTGTTTCTCTTTGGGAATTTTGTGTGCTAGCTGATGGTCTGTTTGTCTTTGATGTTTGGAGGATAAACAGAAAAAGTAGAGGTTCGAACAGAACGCCTCTGCCAGACCTTTGAAGTGTGTCTTGGGTTATACTGTAGCTTTATTATGTGTCAAACACTTTGATCAAGGCCTTATTTATTTATCTATTTATTATTAACATCTCTGGCATCTAAAGCTGGGGAAGTTAGATAACTGCTATGACAGATTGAACACATATTTCCGTGCACCATAAGCCTTTCAGGAAACTGCATGTTCTACTCCGTTACTACATTTCATGCCTTCTGGGTTAATGTTTGGAGTAAAGAAATCATGGACGCACATTAAAGAGACAATTGCAGGATGTTGCTGAGAGCATTCATGAAATTCTGGCAGCTAATGAAGAACCTGTGGATGTTATTCAATATCTCCTAGACAGAAAAAGGAGATCATAAACCCAGCCTAGATGGAGGAGGCAGCAGCTTCACAGGAGAGCCTAATAGGAGGATCTTTACAGACTATTTGGCCAGTTTGCAACCAGATATAACCAACAATGGCTTTAAATAAAGTGGAGCCTCCTTTTTGCTTACTTTTTTGGAAAGTGCAGATTAAGAAAAAGAAACTGACAAGCCAAATGAAAGGGTTTTTTGGCTGTTAGTGAAGAGAAATTGGGGCTTCCCACAAAATCGAGAATCTCAGTTTATTCTTTTTTATTTCACATTGAATATCTATGTGACAGACCGACAAAAGGTGGCAAATATTCTACCATATCACTAAAAAATAAGTTGATATGCTTTTGTCAAACCAAGTAGTAATCTTACTGAGGGATTCATTCACTGTAGTTCTATGGATAAGACATGCTTCATTTGAGAGCTTTCCTCACCTTCCGGTTCGTTATTAGATCTGCTGCTGCTGTCAACATTTCAAAATTACACAATTTACCTTCCTTTGGTTGTTTTTGGTTTCACAGGGAGTTAGTTCAGACAGAGATACCTCCGCCGCACACAGGTCGGCATACAGCCAGCAACTGTGGGAATTCTTTTCATTTCAAAGTGTCTTTTTTAGTTCCTTGTTCCTTTTAAAACCGGGTGATTAAAAGTAGTTGTCAGACGTGTTTTCCTTGTGAGACAATTTAGTAGATGTGTATGAACTTTTCAGATGAACCAGAGTTACAAAATAAGGGATGTTATGTAACAACATCCAGGCTGTTTGAAGTTATCATTTAAACCCCATGTTAATTTGTAAGAAAATATAAAGATGCTTAAAGTAGATTTAACTTTCTCTGCAAATTTTTTTCCTTTAAGATTGTAAAAGAAATGTTTACACAACTGCTTTACTTATAGTTTTATATAATGGTCTCTCTGGGTTTAATTCTGATGTGTCCCTAATGGACTCATCCTTGAATTGGGCTCCCAAGCCTAGAAAAGGCTTTCTATGGAGAGGATTTTGATACATTATTGTTGGAAGCAAATAACATGTTTTTATATACCGTATTAAAATTTGTAAACAATGAATTCAGAAAAAGAATGAATTCTTAGATTTCAGTTTTTCTTATTGAGAATAGAATAGAAAATCCATTTATTGCCCCACAATGGGGAAATTCTGGTTTTTATAGCAGCAAAAAGATTATAAAGAAATGGTCACACAAATGTGGACCTTAGAAAAGTTTTTAAGAATAACATAATAGTAAAAGGAAAATAGCAG